ACCTTGTTAACTAAAATTTCAAATGTAGTTTGCATAGCATTAAGTTAGTATACTTACAACCATAGAAACTTTACAATATGCAAGAACAGTCAGTGCCTGTGCCAGGCAAAGACCAGCTACAAGCCCATTAAATGGTCCTGTGCTAAGTCTATTGCACTGTAGGACATAGCTCTTCACATTCATACCCAAATACTTTTAAGTGATTCAAAGGTTACAAAGATGGCCAGGAAAGTAAAGTGAAGGCCACAATCAGATCAGCCATGACCTTACTGAATTGGCAGAACAGGCTCAAGGGGCCAAATAGCCAACTTCTGTTTCCATTTCTTATTTTCAATATGGTGAGAGCTTATCTCTCTAAACCTTTTCAGGTGGTAGGATCCAGACTCTCAGCGTGAGAAAGTGTTTCACCAGCTCCCCTCAGATCCTTATGCAATTTCTTTAAATATATGTTCCTTGATATTTTATCTTTCTTTGAAGTTGAATTGGTTGTCACCACGTACTCTACCTAGGCTCGTCAATTTCACAAACCTAATAAAATTACCACTGAAATCTGCCCCTGTTCCAAGGAAAGCAACTCCAGCCTAACTGATCTTTTTCTCAATTAATACTTCCAATCCTGGCAGCATCATGTAAATCTCCCCTACCTAGCACAATCAACTTTCCTGTCACATGCAGGCTAGAACTGCACACAGCACTCAAGCTGTGGTCCAAATAATGTTGCATAAAAATGAGGTACTGGAGAATCTCGGATAGTAGGAACTGCAGATGCTGGAGAATCCGAGACAACAAGGTGCAGGGCTGGATGAACACAGCAGGCCAAGCAGCATCATAGGAGCAGAGAGGCTGACGTTTCGGGCCTAGACCCTTCATCAGAAAGGCTGGAGAATCTCAGCCGGTCTCAGAGCGTCTCCGGACAGAGAAACAGTGTTATATACCTCTGCAGTCTCTTTCTAGTGCACAATTCCCCAACACCATTGGCAGCACAATTACCACAGGAAATGCAGTGCTTTAGAAGTTTCAACACCAGCTGCTGAGGTCAGCTAGAAACGGATAATGAATGCTGACCTTCCAAACACCGTCCCATTGAAATTCGGCATATCATTGTCAACTGATTGCTTAACTCAATCAAATTCTGAAATCATTCAAAGTGTTAACCTTAATGATGACAGTGGTTATATGCTAATCAGTATAAGTAAGACTCACAGACTAATGTCTGAGCATTTTTATTAAAGCACAACATTACCATTACAGTCTGGATGGATGTGTGACATCTGCAATACTACCCCTGGTCGTACTCCAGGGAACATCACATTTGTCAACACAATCCTTCGAAACTTTACAATTTCTGTCCTTGGGGAATCTTCTCTTATACTTTCTTATACACAGCAAGCCCACAAGAGACTGATTTAAGCAAATAACAACCTCTATTATTTAAATGGCCAATTACAAAAGATGCAATTTAACCATCTACCTTCACAAATCCAGAGAAGCATTCACTCAGAATTCTAATCAGCTCTGAAATACTTCAATGTCACTTTTGAATGGCCTCAGTACTCAGCAGCTGTTTTCCCTATATACAGCTGGGTCTCAGATTCTGCAAAGGTTTTAGCCCTTTAGTTCACATGGTAAGCTACCTTTTTGCACATGCTGCTAGAATTGAAATGTAGCTCTTTATGATTTGGACCTTTCCGAATCTTGAGGGTCAACAGAACTTTATCAATGAAAAGCACAATCCTCCATCAAGTCACAACTCAGCTTCCTTTACCCAAGGTTTATTACAAAAGCAAAATTAAAAATATAACTCATTAATTTCATTGTCAAACTAAATCTTATAAAGTAGTGCACAGTCATAGTATTCAAGTTCATTTCTGTTCTTAGGGAAGACAAATCAATGTAGGAATTTTCCAGGATTCTGACAGCCCACATCCTGAGAACAAATTTAGAACAAAACTAATATCATTGCTGTATGATGAGGGTGTAAGGGGGAACAGAAAACCCTTTTGACTGAAAGGAAATTCTCATCTATTATGCAATACTTCAACTCACCTTAACTCTTTCCTTACAAAGGAAATAAGCAGTTGCATGCAGTACATCAGCAGAATGTGTTGAATTGTGGTAGGAATTCGAGGAGTGGTAATTTGCTTCAATAACTTGTAACCAGGAACGTAATACTGATTCAGAACAGTTTAAAAATTCACAGACTCCAAAGCGTGAAAATGTTTTCAGCCCAAGGTAGACCAGAGGCCTAGTTAAAAGATGAAAGGTTTAGAGAATGTCCACTGAAATGTTAAATTCTATCATGAGGACATTCTACCATTTTTTTCCCCCCCCCAGATGAAATCCTTTTCCTGCCTCCACCATGCATCATAAGCAACATTCTTGATTCTAAATGACAAAAAAGCACTATCAAAGGCATAACAAGAAACCTTGCTTCATAGGGTTCTAGTACTTCTGTTAACCTTAGGGAACAGTTAATAATTTCAGAATAAATTTTGGTTAAAGTACATTTGAACATATTTTTAAGGGCTCAGTACTGTTCCTGATAATGATAACTTTACCTTTGGTATTTCATTTCCCTGCTCTCTGTAGACAGTTTTTCAGTGGGATTACTGTCAGGACGTGGGATAGATTCCACAAAAATTCCATTTCTCAGATGACGCACCTTGCAACATACAATTCTGACCAACAATGTACCCAATGAAGTTGGCTCAAAGCCAAGAGTTGTTAAATGATGTGGATCAGCTGAATAATTTGTCCAGTCAACCAACATTACACATTGTCAAGTATTAGTCAGCATTCCAAAAACATTCCTTAATAAACACAGCTACAAATCTAAGCGAAGATTACTGGCACAAAAACGATTACACTGATGCACGAGGAAATATTTATCACACTCCATGAGCAAGACTGTTGCAGTTGTAAGTTGTAAACAGTTTCACAACGCTGGATACTGATTAGCTTGCATGTTTGGCTTTAAAATCAACTTGCATATCATTAATAAGTATTGCCCAGGATTAGAAGGTAGTAATCTAATCGAGCTCAGAAATTATTCCTGTCTAGGCTAGAGTTTGTTTAATACAAACATAGCATCAGGAACTGGATTCTCTGGTCCTCAAGCTTGTCGTACCACTCAATAAGATCATGTGGGTGGGTGGGAGGGAGAGAGAAAGACCTCAGTCTTTAACAGTTCTTCAAATTTTTCTTAAAGCATTAGCTGAAGTATGCTATTCCAATTCCATAAAGACACCCTACCCTAGACAGCTTCAGATGTTACCAATTGCCATCTATCCCTCAAATAAAAGCAAGATACTGTGAATACTGGAAATCTGAAAAACAGAAAATGCTGGAGAAACTCAGCAGGTCTGGCTGTATCTGTGAAGACAGAGAGAGCAAGAGAGCGAGTTAACATTTCTTCAGAACCAGAGAATCATACTGACTCAAAATGTCAGACCCGCCAGACATGCTGAGTTTCTCCGACCTTCAGTGCCTGTGCCATCTGTCCCCACTTTCTGCCTAATGTGCCTATCACTCGATAATTTCAATTTACCTTTTGTGAGTTGCAGCCTCCAATTCAAATATGTCAAAGTCCCAGCAGTCCTCATTCTCCATGCTTTCAGTTATCCTTGGTGGGATATCATGCAGTGAGACAGGAATATGAAAGTGAGAGTGAATAGTGTGAGCATCTGAGGGAAAAAGACAAAGAAAATCAGTAATCAAAGACTAAACAATCAACCACACACAAATCACAAAGGGAATAGTTAAATATAGCTTTAGTTTACATATGACACTAAGTGAGTTTTGCACAGTAAATTTTGTTGATGGCAGTAGTCAGTTATAAATAAAAGACAGGAGTTCAATGTGGAGTCACACAAGGGTGTGCACTTTAGATCTTGAGAAACGGAAATCAAAATATTGTATCTTATCAATAGTGAATAATTCAGTCCATTATTTAATTACTGTAGGAGAGAAACTAGGAAAATGTAGATTTATTAGTCAAACATCAGTGAAGGCAGTGACAGAATAACTAAGCATTTGAACAAAATGCTTAGCTTAGCTGTTCAGAGAAACCAGTTTTATTTTATAAAGGGGAAATAATGTCAAAATAACAAGTTTTTTTTCCCTGAAGAGGTAATACTGGTCAATCAGGGTGTATCTATGGATGTTACTTATATGGACATCAAGAAGGCATTCAACTACATCTCATTAACAAAAACGAGAACACATACTTGGAGACAACCTATTGTTTTGGATTAGAATTGGTTACAAGGTTGTATACAGACTGTTGAGGTCACAGGTATACATTCCAAATGGCAGGAAGTGATTACTGACATTCGCCCTATGACGTTGCCTCCGTTTCCCACTATATTTCGAAGTGGCCTGGATAAAGGATCAGAGACTATATAGACAATGTAAATAGCACAAACATTCAGACATTAAGTTGGTGGGCATAATTATGGCAGGTAGAGTTCAATGTAAAAAAGTGCGAGATCATCTGCTTTGGATCAGCATTAGACCAGATCCGAAAAGGCAAGCAGTTAGGAATCTGAAATGAAGTAGTTTTATGTCAATAGGTTGGAAAAGTTGGGACTTTCTTTTTGGAGAGAAGGTTGAGGGGCAATTTGATTGGATTGGAATCAGAATGGGAATGGAAAAATGATATTGTGAACCCTCTATTCAAAAAGGGAGGGAGGCAAAAAGCTGGTAACTATAATTAGCCTAACATCTATTGTTGGAAAAGAGTTGGAATCAATTATTAAGGAAGTAACAGCAGCACACATTTGGCAAATCAATCTAATTAAGCAGAGTCAGCACGGCTTCATGAAAGGGAAATCATGGTTGACTAATTTATTAGTTTCTCAAGGAAGCCTCAGAGTGGATAGATGGGAATCTATCATGATCTAAATGCGCTGTATTTGGACTTCCAGAAGCTGTTCAACAAGGTACCTTACAAAAGGTTAAGTCATAAGAGCTTATGGTGTTGGGAGTAGTATATTGGCACCTTCAGAGAATTGGCTCATGGGCAGCAAACAGTGAGTGGAGATAACGGATTCTCTCTCAGGTTGGCAACCTGTGACCAGTGGGGTTCCACAGGGAACAGTGCTGGGACCACAACTGTTTACAATAAATATTAATGACTGAGGAAGGAAGTGAATAAGATAAGGATGCATGGCATTAAGTATTAGCATGGATAGAGGATTGGTGGACTAACAGGAAGCAAAGAGTGGGGATAAATGAGTGCTATTCTAGCTGGCAGTCAGTGACTAGTGGCGTGCCTCAGGGATCGGTGTTGGGACTACAATTATTTACAATTTACATAGATGATTTGGAGTTGGGGACCACGTGTAGGGTGTCAAAGTTTGCAGATAACACTAAGATGAGTGGCAGAGCAAAGTGCGCAGAGGACTGTGAAACTTTGCAGAGGAACATAGATACATCGAGTGAGTGGGCAAAGGTCTGGCAGATGGAATACAATGTAAATAAACGTGAAGTCATACATTTTGGTAGGAGTAATAGTAAAAAGGATTATTACTTGAATGGTAAAAAGTTGCAGCGTGCTGCTATGCAGAGGGACCTGGGTGTCCTTGTGCATGAATCACAGAAGGTAGGTCTGCAGGTACAACAAGTAATTAAGAAGGTAAATGGAATTTTGTCCTTCATTGCTAAAGGGATTGAAATAAAAAGCAGAGAGGTTATGTTGCAGCTGTACAAGGTGCTGGTGAGGCCACACCTGGAGTACTGTGTGCAGTTTTGGTCTCCTTACTTGAGAAAGGATGTACTGGCACTGGAGGGGGTGCAAAGGAGGTTCACTAGGTTGATTCCGGAGTTGAGGGCGTTGGCTTATGAGGAGAGACTGAGTAGATTGGGATTATATTCATTGGAATTCAGAAGATTGAGGGGGGATCTTATAGAAACATATAAAATTATGAAGGGAATAGATAAGATAGAAGTAGAGACGATGTTTCCGCTGGCAGGTGAAGCTAGGACAAGAGGGCATAGCCTCAAGTTTAGAGGGAGCAGATTTAGGACTGAACTGAGAAGGAATTTCTTCACCCAGAGGGTTGTTAATCTATGGAATTCCTTGCCCAGTGAAGTAGTTGACGCTACTTCAGTAAATGTTTCTAAAAAAAGGGTAGATTTTTTTTAAACAATAAAGGAATTAAGGGATACAGTGAGAACGCGGGTAAGTGGATCTGAGTCCACGAAAAGATCAGCCATGATCTTATTGAATGGCGGAGCAGGCTCGAAGGGCCAGACGGCCTACTCCTGCTCCTAGTTCTTATGTTCTTATGAATGCATTGTCGCCAAATTTTCAGATGACACAGAAATAAAGTAGAAATGCTGGTTGCGAGATGGTACAGACAATTTACAGATAGATATTGATAGGTTAAGTGAGTGCGCAAAAAGTCAGCAAATGAAGTACAATGTGGGAAAATATGAAGTTGTTCATTTTGGGAGAACAAAAGAACGGAGTATTATTTAAATGGAGAATAACTGCAGAAAGTGCAACACAAAGGGACATGAGGTGCTTGTACATAAAAGTAGCAGACAAATACAGGAGGTAATCAGGAAGGCTAATGAATGCTAGTCCTTATTTCAAGCAGGTTGGAGGGAAGTCTGGATGCATATGTATAAGGGGCTGGTGAGACCACATCTGGAGTTCCGAGAACAGTTTGGGTCCCCTTAATGAAAGAAAGATTGAATTTCCTCCAATGAAATTATGAGAAGATTCAAGATGATCCCTGGTATGGAGGGATTGTCTTATGAGCAATGATTAAACAGGTTGGGACTTTACTCACTGGAACATAGAAGAATGAGAAGTGATCTCATTGAAACATATAGGATTCTTAAATGTGGAGAGGATGCTTCTGCTCATAGCAGAATGTAGGGTCAGAGGACATAATCTCAGAACAGAGACGCACCAATGTGAGAAGATTTTCTTATCTTAGAGGGTTGAGTGTTTTAGGAACACCTTGCCAGAAAGCTGTGGGGGCAGGGTGCTTGTGCATATTTAAGGCTGAGATAGACAAATTCTTGATTAGTAGGGGAAATCAAGAGTTACAGGGAGTTAAAGTGGATGTGAGGAAGACTGGATCAGCCACAATCCTGTTGAATGGCAAACAGACTCAAGGTGCTGAATGGCCTACACCGGCTCCTATTTCTTAACAGTTATAGAGTCAGAGTTGCACAGCATGGAAACAGACCCGTCGGTCCAATTCATCCATGCCAACCAGATATCCTAAATTAATCTAGTCCCATTGCCAGCATATGGCCCATAACCCTCCAAACCCTTCTTACTCAACCATCTAGATGCCTTTTACATGTTGTAACTGTACCTGCCTCCACCACTTTCAGTTTATTACATACATACACCACCCCATGCGAAAAAGTTGCCCCTTAGGTCACTTTTATATCTTTCCCCTCTGTCCTTAAACCTATGGTTCTTATGATCTTATGATAAAGACATTCAAAATCATGTCGAGTCTGGAACACAGTCGATAGAGTGAAGCTATTCCCACTGGTAGAAGAATCAAGAGGAGTAAGCAGATTTGAGACCATTGGCAGGAGCAGCAAGCACAACATGATGAAAAATGCTCTTCATTCAGCAGGTGATTAGGATCTAACAGTCTGGTGGCACCTTTCAAAAGGAAATGGAATCATTCTCCGAAAAAAGAAAATGTACAGAGCTATGGGGAAAAAGGTGGGGGAGTGGCCCTAAGTGAACTGCTCCTTCAAAAGGACCAGTACAGAAATGACCAACTGAATGACCGTTCTCTATGCCGTAACCATTCTGTGGTGCAATTAAAACAGTGGAAAATTAGAATACTAGCAACATCTGATCTTTATTCAGAATCACAGACATGCTGAGTATTTCGAGCACTTTCTGCTGTTATTTTTGATTTCCAGCATCTTGAGTGTTTCGCTTTTGGAAAGTGTTTTACAGGCCCAAGTACAAACATCACCCAGCTTGTGGGCAGAGGTGTGAAATAATTATTAAGGTTAATGGATTGTTGACCTTTATCTCAAGTGAGCTCAAATACAGTGAGGATGAAGACTTCTTTCAGCTTTATGTACAAATTTTGATGAGTAAAACACATATGTATTCAATTCCACCCACTGCACCTCAAAAAATATACTTTGGCCTTGCAGGCATCCCAACAATATTGAAGGTGGTAGCGGTGTAGTCGTCATGTCACGGACTGGCAATCCAGAACCCTAGGTTAATGCCCTGGGGACATGGGCTAGAATCTCATCATGGCAGATGGCATTTAAATTCAATACAAGTCTGGAATAAAAACCTAACCTAATAGTGATCATGTAACCATTGCTTATTGTTGTAAGAGCACATCTGGCTCACTAACGTCTTTTAGGGAACAAAGCCCTTACCTGATCTGGCCTACATGTGAACCCAGATCTGCAGCAATGTAGCTGGGCAATTAGGGGTGGGCCATAAGTGTTGGCTAAACCTGTAACATCCACAATCCATGAATGAATTTTTTAAAAATTAACCGGAATAATACTGGGCTAAGAGATTAATTTATGAAGACAGGACTTTTTAATCCTCCATGTGCAAAGGAATAAATAGCGCAATCTGACTGGTTGTTAAGATGGTGATAGGATAAGGCATGGGCAAAGTGAGTGTTCAGAGCAAGCAGTGAGTGAATGGGTGGGTGAAATTTGCATC